CTGTTTTGTAAAATTTTTAAAAATTATTTCATTCTTACTCTGAAGATATCTCGTGATTGAAACTGTTTCTTAATTTTAACTACAAAACACTGAGTACTATATTTAAACAAAATAATGCGTTTAAATGTGTCCTAATCAAATTTTTTATTCACAATAAATCGAAAGTTGAAAAGGAAATAACACAATGTTCTCAAATGCATAAGTTCACCCGTTCTATAATTACATTTGTAAATTAACTTACCCATAAAGATAATAAAATTGTAATGATAAATGCAATACTATCAGTAAATGTATTACATTCTAATTGTAAATCTAATCCTGTTTGAAATAACTCGAATTTAATAAATTGGACTAATATATTTTGATATATTTCTTGGCTAAGTAGAAGCTTATCGCCAAGTTAGTGCTTGATTTTTATAAATTGCACCCCTCACATGTCAATGAGGGGAGAGATCTACCTACAAACGTTATTAACTAGCAGCGCAATCAGCATAATGCTAGGGGTGGGGGGTTATAATTGAGGCAATTACTGAGTGCAGTCCACCATTGCCCGTTCTATATAGGGCCAATATCGGCATCTTTTACCCTTATTGAGTCAAGATTAATGAATATTGGAACAATGGGAGTTCGAGTTATTTTGCTGCTAAGTGAAAGGCATTAAGGTGTGACACTATCTCGGATCTTCTTGATGGTACCATAAAGAATCGGAACAACTTTAGGTTGTCCCAAAATGAGCAAAATCAGCATGGTTTGATGGTTTTATTTGATCGTCTAACAAAAATATTCCATGAACCAACAAATGTTATTGATTTTCAACTTAATATCCCATTAAATATTATCCCACTTCTTGACGATATCATTAAGACTGACCATCATGCCCCGATGATAAACCAGTTCCGTTCATAAGTTTAATTGCAGATTTTTCCTAATGTCCATCGCAGAATCAGTAATATATTCCCGCTGCGTGTTAGCATTGGCAGTAAGTGCGAAAAATAATGGACCACTAAGAATAACTTTTGGTCTTATAATCGGATCTTTACGTATTAGTACTCAATCTTAATAATTCGATTAACATTCTATTTCTCAGGAACTATTCGAACGATTTTTCTCGAATTTCGTATTTTTCCCTGTAAAATTGCATTCTTTGAAATGATGCAAAAACTGGCAATACATATTTGCTTATACCAAGTGAGTATTTCTTCCTGTTACCCACCACTCCAGCCTTAGAAAAAGCAATTTATTGATGACTTCAGATCCAAATCCAGATCTTTGTATTCATAATATTTTGCTGTAGACCAAATTATCTTCATCTTGCAGAATAAAATCCTGTAAACAAATCATTTCTCTAACCACTTTTTTTTTTTTGAAAAAAAAGAACAGGTTTCTTAAAATAATGCTAAGCACAAATGAGTTAAGATTCTTACTTATGTGGAGAAACTTAGCCAGCAACATTCTAAATATTAGAATGCCATCTCATTTAAAAACAATCAGTCGATGATGAGGTCATAGGTCAAGTGGTTCAGTATCAGTGGTCTTCTTCTTCTCGAGTTGAGAGTATCCCATTGTTTTCATAGTGAAATTTATCAAAACTTATTGTAATTTTCTATCATGAACTAAAATTAAATAAAAAAGAAAAAATGGTAAATTATAAAATTTCAAAACTACGTTTTTTTATGGTGGCAACGAAGGAAATTTTTTCATTTTTGTCGAAATTGAAACGAAAACCGTAGCACTCATCACTTTCGCAATAAACTTAAATCACCACCGAAAATTCGTCTGAATGTTAGAAAAGTGGTGCTTTCTATATTTTTCATTTCAGGACTGACAAAAATAGAATAAAAAAAATTTTTTTTTTTACTTCTTTGGTCTATTTGAAAAATGTAGTTTTTAAAACTTATTATTTTTTTTTACATTAACAAAATGAGGAAAGTATAATAACAAAACGAAAAAATAATTATTCGTTAAAATGTTTTTTTTTTTTTTTTTCCAATGGCAGGCACTGAATCGTTAAAATGTAATTGATAGATAGACGATTTGATATTTTAATCTGCTGCACGGGATTCTACTTGTAAAAAACAATCGTGACCATGATTGCGAAACATAAGAAGGATAATAACAGTTATAGAAATTTTAACTTTATCTTAACTGCTGTTTCAATATCACAGAAAATATATACGGAAAAAATTCAACTTTAACACATTTTTATTCATAATTTTTCTAGCTATGAATAGTTTTTGGCTACTGAGTTTAATATGTTTCTCAACAGGTATGTGTATTGTGAACAAATTTGTTATAATAATTTTGTGAATACTTATTGTACTTGTAGAATAACTTTATATAAAATTTTATTTGCACTGCTTTTAGTTTTGAAAAATGTTTTATACATTAAGTTAGTAACGAAAAACGGTATCAAAATTTAAAGAATCAGTACTGAAAAAAAAAACGAGATAGAAAACAAAATAAACTCCTTTGATTTTTCGTATAAACAAAGAGGAGTTAAAAGGGAGTTATTAGAAGCATCATTTAGCAATAAAACATTTTTTGGTGATTTTAATTCTGTCTTTTTCAATAATTCCTTAGATTTTAATACCGTTTTACTTTTTTCTTGTCTTAATAATATTTATTTATTATTATGTTATTAATGTGTTAACTTTTAAAAAAATATATTATCGACTAGCATTTATGTGTTTGTAAATATATATTTAAAGAATATGCGAATAAGTGTTTAAAAAATGGTTACTGCAATAAAACACCTTGTGTATTGAAAACAGTTTTCTAGTATAGGAGACATAAGATTTTGAAAGAAAAGTAAAATTTAACAAAATATTAATCCTTTTTTCATTAGTAGTTTCAAGATTTTTTTTACAATTCTAAATATTATAACATAGCTAGCCACCTTTGGCAACCAGCTTGGTCATCTTTCAAAATTATCTTGTATAACATATACATTTCAATGGTAACCAAGCAAATGTATTTGAATATTCTAATTCTTCACCCCTCCCCCTATTCTATCACCTTACGTAGCTTTAAACCAGTGATTCTCAACCTTTCTGTTGTTGCGGCACACTTTTAACGATTTCGAAATTTGACGGCACACAATGAAAAAAATTAGATTAAAAGTTGTTTAATTACCTATTTTACACTGTGTTAAATAGTTTGTGATAATAATTTTGAATGTGAAACAAAATAATATGTACTACAAAAGCACATTTATTAAGGGATTCATTATTTCTTTCGACCAATTTTTTATAAGTTAGTAACAGTTATTTATTTTTTTGCAAGTTATTAATTGTTAGCTTGTTTTCTGTAATTATTAACTGTTATTTTTTTGTGATTTCTTGTTAACTAGTTCTTTTGCTAATTAAGAATTGTTAGCTTAATTTTTTTTAGTTAACCTTTGTTAATTTGTTTATTAATTGCATAGCTTACTTTAATGATTAGCTCTTACAACATTTTTTAAAATTCTGTGATATATACAATTTAAGCACTTCCATCTTATTTTAAGATTGTCAGAGACAAAACAATTGCCGACAAAGATGTTCACGCGGTTAAAGCATGGAAAAATTATAAAAAGTATATACTATTATATATATATATAATATATAAACTTATTGTAATTTTCTATCATGAACTAAAATTAAATAAAAAAGAAAAAATGGTAAATTATAAAATTTCAAAACTACGNTATTATATACACTTTTCTATAATTTAAACTTTACTCATAATAAAAAAAAGCATTATAATTTTTATTGTATCATTTCTAATATTTGGCGGCACATTTTAAGAATTTGGCGGCACACAAAAGGGCCGCGGCACAGTGGTTGAGAATCACTGCTTTAAACAATAGATTAGTTTACATTTCTCACCATTTATCTGTCGCCTGCTCGGTTGATAACTTTGATTTCGATGTCAACTATTTTCAGGCTGTGATTCGAATTTTAGAAATGATTTAAAATCTATCCAGTTGTCATTAAGTCACACAAACCACTGTAAGTATGAGTCCAGGACATTACAGCATAGTAGGCAGCAGAAGTGTTTAAACTATTTCTATCTCTGTCATGAGATAAGATGGAAAATTCATCCCAATACATCACTACTTCCTAACTCACCTCTAGAGCCATAACTTGAGTATCGTATAATTAGGAATCTCACTTACTTTTTGAAATTGTATCAGTTTTCGTATCAGGAATATCTAGGTCTTGTATATCTAGGTCTTGTGTATATCTAGGTGGTCTAGGTAAAAACAGTTTTTGTATTAGAAATAAATAATTTTGAATCACGCAAAAACAATACTCGCATCAGAAAAAAATCTACTTGTACCAGGTAAAGAAATTTTTTGCAGCGATAAAAAGTTAGCTTGCATCTTGAAAAATAATTATTTGTAGCAGATAGAAAGTTAGTTTGTATCAGGTAAGGAGCAAATTTTGTAGCTAAAAGAACCACTTTTGTACCATCTGGACACAAATATCCTGGTAATTAAAAACTTTATTTTGAAATTCATTAAATACAAGTTAATTCTTACAAGATGAAACAAACAAAAGAATAAAAATATTTTTTTATTTCTCACTGTCCCAAGAAAAAAAGTTTGAAATTTAAGTCTCTTAAGTTTAAGTTATAATCTCTCTAATGATTATTTAAAAGTGAAGAATGAACTAGTTGCTTATATGAACTAAGAAGAATCGAAACAAGCATGCAATTTTTTTGAAAACTAAAATTAAAATATTATACAAGGAAGACTGTGAGGAATCTTTTATTCAATAAATCTATGTTTAGTAGTTTAAAAATATATTATAAATATAAATTTCATTGAATTTGTTTTCATTTGAAAAATGATTGCAATAAATTGCTTTTAAAAATATATCACGATAGAAAAAGCATGAAAGTTTTACAAATAAAATTAAAACTTTATCCAATAAATTTATATTTAGTAATTTAATTAAATTCAATGAAATTGTTATCATTGAGGAAAACTTTATCCTATAAATCTATGTTTAGTAATTTAGAAATATATTATAAGTATGTAATTCAATGAATTTGATTTCATTTGATTGCAATAAATTGCAATTAAAAAATAGGGCAATAATAGAAAATACATGATAGTTTCACAAATAAAATTAAAACGTTATCCAAGGAAATCTGCGATGAAAAATTTGTGCAATAAATTTATATTTTATAATTTAATTAAATTCAGTGAAATTGTTTTCCTTAAAAAATGATTGTAAGCACATATAACGCAAATCAATTATATAATTTAAAAAAAAAATTTAACGCTAATTTTCTGTTGTTCAGCATTAATTGTTTCTTAAGCTGAGAGAAAATTAATAATTCTACTTGAGGCTTCTTGGAGTAAAGTTTACCATTTTCAATTATAACCATATTTTTTACTTTAATTTCACTTGCGATTACTTACTGAGCATTTCATAATAATTTTTGAGATGCTTTTAATTTTTCAGCCAATTTTTTTGGGTCATTTTTTAGCTATGCTTCAGCGCTTTTTCGTTAGATACATTTTTCATTCCCCTCTGTTTATCCTCTTGTAACCTATTATTCTTCAGCCAGGTAAACCTAGCATATTTGATCATCTTAGATTAAACTTTTTAGTTCTCTTCTTAATTTTCGAAATCAGTTTTTGTCTGGCATTTAATTTTTCTTGAAGCGTTCAAACTGGCTAAATTTAGAGTGCTCCTTCCTTCCTCATCAGAAGTGCTTATTTATGCTGAAACCTCTTTCCAAAGTTTTCTAAGATTTTGAAATTTAAAATTTCCTTCCTCATCTTTCCTTTCGAAAATTGGCACCCAAAATTTATCAATTCTATCACATATAATCAACCATGTGCAAATCCAATTCGTGAAGATCCATGTCTAAACATATGGGCAAATCAGGTTTTTCTCTCTCTTTTTTAAAGAATAAATGTTAGTTTTCAAAATTCATTAAAATTGTATTATTAAATATCTACTTTATTAATTATGAACTTGGTTAAACTATCCTGTATAATATTATTATCTTGCGCACATCCATTTTCGGGCCAATCCATGGTAACTAATAAATCAAACACTCTTCAGTACTGCAGTCAGAATGAGGTATATAACAAAATCCTATTATTTACGCTTTTAACTCCATTTGCGCTTCTATTGTCCTATTTTGTAAACTGGCAAACTTATTACGAAAATATTTTAAATCATTCTTGAAAGATTCCGGTATATATAAGTTCATTGGGATACGCTACTCGCTTTATAAATTTCGTTTTGTATTCTACATTCAATTTTTTGAGTGCTCTTCACTCTATTGTATTGATAGATTTTGCTTTGGCTATATTGATAAGAAAGCACGCCTTTTTGCGGATACAATCGTGTGAGCTGATGAAGAGAAGATATCTTTTCATTTTTGTTTTGTTTTCCGTTAATGTTAAAATAACTAATATAACACAGAATAAAATTGAAATCAAAACATATAAATAAATTTTTTTTTTAATCAATGAGGTCATATCTCAATAGCTATATAATATTGAGCATTCCAAAATCAAATTTAAATAAAATGAAAAAAAGTTGCTTTTGATTGATACCAGAATTTGAGAAGCAAAAAAAAAAAAATACTTTAGAAATATATATATATATATATATATATATACAGAGAGAGAGAGAGAGAGAGAGAGAGAGGGAGTTTGTGGGCTGATCTTGCACCTGGAGAATTGTTTGAGTGATTGATACAATATCAACTGACGTAGTAAGCTATATGAGATAAAATTATGTTTGTTTGGCAAAAAAAAGTGTTTTATTGAGCATTTGGGTACAAAAGGGGAAAAAACACAATTTGTGCATATATTTGCTTATAAACACAGCCATAATGGACGCATGCACCCTATAACGAGTAATCTCAAATTCTCCGATAATATGAATATTTATTTGTAAAAATATATTACTTTGAAATTACATACATATTTTTATTATTTTTAAATTTCTTTATAGCATTTTATATTTTATTATGTTGTATTAAGTATTTTTTTTTTCATTTCTAATAAGCAATACTAATGGAATTATTTGATTTTAAGACATGAATGGACGAAAATAATAATATTTTTACTAGCTACCAGAAAATTTTCCAGGCTACTAACTTTTTTCAAATTCTTGGAGCCCTGGTGTTGCCAATAAATAGAGAAATACCAGAGTTAATGGTGCCACATAAGAGAAATATACATATAGATTGAATATGGATTTGGCTATTTTTGTTAAACAATTAATTCAGATTTTTTCTAAGTTAGTTATAGAAAGATTTTTATGACAACGAAAGCAACGGAAATAATCAGTTTTTTTTCTTTGTGAACTATGCATTAAAACTTTACGTTATGCCATGTCTTTTACAAGAATTATAAAAGAATTTAAAGAAAAACTTGACATTTTCATAACAGCGTCTTTGGAAATAATTCTACTTTTATCTAAAAATTACTATATTTCAAAATGTCTGGAGTTATTTTTTATATAATAATAATTATAAATAATGGGACAACATCGAAGGTTTTTCCCCATTTTGCCATACAGAAAATTTACTTTAAGTAATATTTCAAATTTAATCAAATCATTAAATATTATAAATGATTAAAACCATTTATAATATTTTTAAATATTATAGTTACATATTTTACAATACTAAGAGGCTAAGTATTTATTTTATATATAATTATATAACAGTTGAATAGTTTATAACATTATGGAAATAATTTTACTTTCTAAAACTCAATGGCGCGACAGCCCATAGAGGGCCAAGGCCCACTGTGCCCATCTCAGTTTTCTTGACCTTGGGCTCTGGGGTAAAGGAGCAAATTTACTTTTATCTAAATATATTATAAATGGTTGAGACCATTTTTAGTTGCAACTTTAGGTTCAACTTAAAGTCAGGCTCATTTATAACTATAATAAAATAATACACGAGTTAATATCTTACAATATTTTTTTTCTCATTTTAGGACTAACCAATGCAGGAGTCCTGGATGGTAAGAAATCAATGAATCAATAAGAAATTAATCAATTTTTCATAATTGTGCAATTTCAAGATACTTACAGTATGTCGGTTTGTTTATATGAAGTGTACTGATGAAATACTAGGTCTACGTGTCGGCTTTAAATGAAAAACTGGTTATAAGCTATTTAATACAAAGTAAATTTTAATCCAATTGACAAACTACTTTGTGAATTATTGAAAGAGACATGTACGTTTTTAGTCGTATAATAAAGTTATTTATGTACTCATAAGATTCATATAAAGCATTCGATTTTCTTAAATATTTTTTCAGTTCCATTCACGTCGGTTTCGTGCAAATTCATATTAATATTCTGTCTTTGTTGTGTGTATGTTTGATTAACAAACTAATTTCATTCCAAGACATATTGTATAAATACATCCATCCTAAATTTATGATTCTTACATTAGATTGTGGGGTAAGTAGAAATTGACCATGCCAACCTTCATCTATCAAAAGGTACCTCAAGATGGAATGAAGTGCTGGGAATGGTTTTTATCTCGGCATTTGGCGCGAAACGCCACTAACCGATTCATCTAAACTTATTGGTCATAATTTGGTAAGGCATATAATATGATAAAGTAATATATTGATAAGAAAAATAGTGCATCTTCATTGTCAAGAGTGAACATAGTGAATACGTCAGCACTGTGGTTGGCGCGAATCAGGTGAGGAATTCTATCAACCAGCCATGCTGAAATTGGAGCCTGATTCCCCTCATTGGAATGCAACCCTCTATCTCCTAGACTAGATACTCAATTTCTCAATCTATGTTCAATATGTGTGTGCGTGCGTGAGAGAGAGAGTTATCAAAATCGGCACGTCATCAAGTGATAACTGTCTGCTGACAGCCTTTCTGTAGTCAGTGGTTAAACCAGAAAACTGACTGCGCCCCTAGGGCCCATGATGGATAAACTGATTAAGAAAATACAATCAAGAAACTAAATGAGAAAACTAAGTAAGAAAATGCGCGTTTACATTTTCTTATTTAACTTATCCATCATGGGGTTTCGGGGAGCAGTCAGCTATTGGTTTAACCACTGACTACAGAAAGGCTTCGGTGTGCTAGCAAGCAGAGCGTCTCCTGATGAAGTGCTGTTTTTGCTAACATAGATATCTTAAGAATTTCGTTTTTCCTTACTTTTGGTTTTTAACTTTTTATTTAAATTGTTTACATGGGGCGAATTGGATTTAGCTGCTTATAACGCTTTTCCGTTTTGACTTATTATTTTAAAGATTTTTTTTAAAATTTATTTATTTTATCTTTCAAATTTGCTTAAATTAATTTCATACTTTGATTGAATACACTACCCTCTAATTGCATTACTTTTGTACAGATATCACGTCCACAGCATCAGGTCTCCTAGCGATTCCTGCATTGATTCCATCTTTGAAAAAGCAGAAGCATTCACCCAACACAGCGTCGGATGTGAAAAAATCTTATGACTATGTTATAAGTAAGTGTACTCAATTTCATAAAGTGTCGATTTTTTTGCCATTCAAAAATAATTTAGTGATTTGATGCGTCAATTAAATATTTCTAGCAGTACTTAAACTTTTGAGTTATTTATGCTCGACTCCAAATATAGCACTGGTGTAAAAAGAGCTTTTACAAAACAAGTTGTAGTCTATACATTGCTCTAGGGCAGCGGATTCCTAAAGGTGTCTCGTGGAGCCTTAAGGTTCTGGAGAATAAGGTACAGAAGGATTCCAAAAGTTATAACTCTTTTGTAAGTTGCGAAAAAAAACTACTCTGAAAACGCAACCAGCAGCCTTTGGCTACCAGCTTTGGTCAGCTTTCAATGGTAACCAAGCAGTACACGCGGCACGAATGTACACGCGGCACGACTGTATTTAAATATTATAATTCTTCAATCCATCTGCATTTAAATATTCTACTTTTTCAACTTCTCTAATCCTAAAATCTTAATTAATTTTCAACAATATAGTAACCAAATCTTTTCACCGTCTAGCTATCGCCTGCGGCTTTGGCTGCGCGAAAGCACTTTGATTTCAATTTTAATTATTTTTAAAAGATGTCAGCGATATCGTTTAAATTTTTAATGTATTGAATTTTAATAATAATTTGAAATCTGTCCGGTAGCCATTTTATCACACAAACCACCGTAAGTATGAGTTCGGGACATTTTAGCATAGTAGGTAGCCGAAGTATTAAAATTATTTCCCTTAAGGTTGTGAGACAATGTAGAAAACTAACCACAATGCTTCATTACGTCCTGTACTTTCTCACACACCTCTGGATGACGTATTACATACATATGCTATCACTCGAAAAAGTCAAGCTCCATCACCAATAATTGAAATGACATGTGCGGCAGCCATTTTAGAAAAGATCAAAAATAAATCTACATAATTACTTCGTGATTAAGTTTTTAATTCTATAAAGATGCAAAATTATTCTAAATAAATACTTAATGTATCCATAAAAGAAAATAAATACGGTGGTGGACTGGTTTTTCTCTTGAAGAATTGCATCAAATATAATTGATGGTAAAATCTCTTGGCGATATTTAAAAATCTCGCCAAGTTGGCAATTATTATTGGGATCAGCGTTGCTCCTTGATTACTTAAAAAAAAATTAAGTTATTACAAATTTATTAAAATGTTTCTTAATAGAAATTAATAAAAATTGAAAAATGAAATAATAGCGGTAATAGATGAAATAACGGTTAAAAATGAAATAATAATGAAGATTCTTACAGCAGGAGATTAGAGGCATTTTTTTTCTAATGCCCGCCTGTGTTAACATCCGTCAATTCAGGCATCTACAGGGCGATTTTGTTGACCTCTCTTACAGGGGCACCATATTAGGTGGGCCAACGTCGCTCCCACACTAAGGACAGATAGTACAGAGAAAGAAAGAACATCCATACTTTGCCCGGGATTCGAACCCAGAACCTTTCTGATGCAAGGACAGTTCCCTGCCCCCTACACAGGCCGGTCGGCGAGATTAGGAGCATAAATGTCGAAAAAATGAACCTTTTAACCTCTTTTCTAACGAAATCCATCTTTCGCGTAGGCATGTATATAAAATAATATTTAATCAGGATTAAGAATTTTTGGAGGTGTGATCGGAGGTTCAAAATAATCTCCCCGAAATATCTTTCGGAAACCTAGTTTGGCGCGATTTCAAAAACTTGCTAAGCGAGATTTAAAGAAATCGCCACTGGTAGGACTATTCAAGGATCCACCCATAATTGATATAGCTGAAACTGTGAATAGGACTTTCGGTCTTATATATTTCTTATTGATTTCTTTTACATGACATAACACGACAACCAACCTGCTTAACATCTAAGTAATTATTCAAAACCATTTTAATTATTACTTGGTTGGTTGGTTGGTGTCGTATCCTCTATTGAATCATATTTCATGGTGTGCTTGAATAGTTTTTGTTATTTCTATGGCATTAGAAGAATACAAATCCTCTTCTGTCGGGTAGTTGAAGAGGTGAAGGCCTGCAGCGACTGCAGGGCAGTTAAAAACATGATATGGTGTCAGTTCCACATTAAGACAGTTGCCACAGTTTTGATATTTTCTAGTCCCATCTGTAGAAATTTTCATGTTTTTATGATGTTTTGTTCTTAGTCTGATGAGAGTAGTGGCTGTCTTCCTATCGATGTCAAGATTAGTTATTTGATCGTGGGTTTGCTTTTTAAAGGGGCGAATAGTCTTGACTTTGCAAAAGCATTTGCATCTGCCAACGTAGTTGGGAATGAATTTTGATTGAGATCTCTGGCATTTTTAGCCAATGAATCAGCTATTTGATTGAATTCTAAGGTCACATGGGCGGGAATCCACTGCAAAAAGCATTTTTCCGGAGACGCTGAAGTTGTCCAAGTTGTTCTATGATATTCAGGATAAGGCTTGAGGTACCTTTGCTGAGGGCCTGTAAGGCAGACCTGCAGTCGCTGAAGATGGTGATACCACTAAGCTGCTCCGAAGGTTCAAGATTGATGTACGTTTCGATTGCCGTAGAAATGGCTATCAATTCTGCCGTAAAATTAGATACGATTTTTCCAGCACCAGTTGCAATCTCTGGTTTTTGATCATCAGGTAGGAGCAGTATCACTCCCGCACCTCCGTTGGTGAAAGTGGAGTCAGAAGATCCATCAGTATAAGCCCTGACATGATTGAGGCCAGATAGTCGATAGTTTTCATCCCAATTTCCTTGAGTTTATTCGCATGATCTTTTTCGAGCAGGGCTCGATGAGTTCTAGACAGATTGTCGTATTCTCTGGAACAACTCCAATAGCGGGAGTTTCTTTTCTGAAAAAAAAAACCTCGGGTTTAAGGTGAATTTTTTCTCTGATGGCCCTGTCAAACAGAAGGGAAGATGACCTTTTGAGTCTAGATTTTTTATTCCAGTTTATAATAGTACGATGTGAAATGTGCCCCTCGTCAAGACTATGGTTGTAAATTTAACAGTTAACATTTGTCTCCTTTCTTCCAGAGGGGCCAAACCGCATTCCTCTTGAATTCTTAAGTTGTTTGTTGATGAGACAGCACCAGACATTATTTTTGCAGCTTTCGCTTGTACTTTATCGAGTCTCTCTCTTGAAGTAGGGGAGGAGTGTGACCATACAGGTGTGGCATATTCCATTATTGGTCTTATAAGAGTTGTGTAGGTAGTTTTCAGTGTTTTTGGTGCAGCATCCCATTTTGTGCCACAAAACCTCCTAAGGATGTTGAGCATTTTTAGTGCTCTATTAGAACACTCTTGAATGGGATGGTGAAAACGAAGCTCTTCGTCAAGTATTATACCGAGGTACTTTGGGTTAGAAATCTTTTCTATGGGGGTGTCAAACAATGTGATATTAGGACAAAAAGTGTGCCGGTGTTTTCTGTCAGTGCTGAACACGCTGAGTTTAGTCTTGTTAGGATTAATGACTAGTTTAAGGTCTCTTGACCATTTTTCCAATCCTCTCTTTGATAATTACTTACGATTACATAACGAAATGAATCTTAAATCAATATACTTACGTATAACAAATTATTTAACGCTACTTAAGTTATTGCTTAAGACAACCTAACAAACTATAGTGTTGCCAATAGACAGAGAAGTACTCGAGGTTATGGTGCCACATAAGAGAAATATAATATAGATAATGACAGAAGCAGTTATATATATTACCGGCAAAGTATGAAATCCGGCGTTACATAGAATGCCTGGGCATTCTGTATAATGCCTAAAACTAACCAGCAAAGTATGAAATGATTTATATTTCACACATTGCTTAGGCATTCTATAGAATGCCAAATGCTATTTAGGCGAAGTATGAAATAAACGTCCTGATGAGGTTATTATGTAAATGATGTGCATGTTACTGTGAATGACCAAAATCGGTGGTTGTTAACTTTCACCGGTGAATGTTGACAATCACATAGTCGCTTTGGTGAATGTCCGAAATATTTATTACATCCGATTTGATATTAATTTATTCGTGAATATAATTACATTTATTCGATATTTTAATACTTACTGACGATAGATTAGAAGAAACATCAGTGTTTGGAGTATCGGGCAAATATATACCTTGCAATGGCACTTGACCTTAAAAAATATTAGTGTAGGGTATACCGGGCAAATGTATACCGGACAGTGGTACTGAACCTTAAAAAAACATCAGTGCAGGATTTTCCGGGCAAATGTATTCCGTGCAATGGCACTTAACTAGACCCAGTACGACTAGACCTTTGGTAAATGTCCGAAATATGTACTTCTTCTAATCTATCGTCAGTAAGTATTAAAATATCGAATAAATGTAATTATATTCACGAATAAATTAATATCAAATCGGATGTAATAAATATTTCAGGCATTCACCAAAGCGACTATGTGATTGTCAACATTCACCGGTGAAAGTTAACAACCACCGATTTCGGTCATTCACAGTAACATGCACATCATTTACATAATATCATTAACATCATTAACAACATCATTAACATCAGGACGTTTATTTCATACTTTGCGTTTAAATAGCATTTGGCATTCTATAGAATGCCTAGGCATTATATGCAATGGCTAGGGAAAGTATGTAATACTTCTCATATTTCATACTTTGCCTAAAAACGTCCAGCATTATATAGAATGCTTAGGCATTCTATATAATGCCTGCGTTTCATACTTTGCCGGTAGCATATAGATTACAACAGACGTTAGGGAAATCCGCTAAGACCTAAAACACCCAATAGGGTGTCTCAGGTGGTGAGTCTTCAGAGGGTGAAAGGGCAGTAAATATTCACAGACATTGTGATGACCACATCACGCTTATTCATAACTATGAAAAAAGTTAATATACATTATTTTCGTATTCTTTTATTTCCCCGAAAAATTGAAAAAATATTTGTATATATAGTTTTGGAGATAATTTATTTTATATTTCGTGTTTATATTCGATATTACTATCTACTAGAAAAATGTTTTCGTTTATTTTAAGGTGATAATATCTGTAAAACCTAAGTTATCAAACTTAAGGTGCTAAATTAGTTAAGATGCTACTAAATTATGATAACTAAATAATCCATAAAAAAAATATCTTTTTTATCTAAATTTTTCTGACGATTTAAAATTAAGTTTTACTATATTCTTTTTTTCTGCTACTTTTAAATGAATTGTTAAGATTTAGGTTGTAAAATATTCAGACCTCAACATTACGGTTTAAGCGATATAAATGAAATAAATCCCTTTAGAAATGTCCCAACGTGATTCATATTACAGTGTGTGATAGGTGAGACAGCGCAGTTGGATTAAAATCACTTCTTAAGAATTAATCCATGGTAAGCGGTCGCATTTTTTTAATGCAAAATGAGTAATATTATTATTTCAGACGTTCTGTTATCTACTAAATCCCTTCACAACGATACTTAACTACTAAATCTCTTCACAAATGTACCTTTTTTAAGTAATAATCAAATATTATAATAATGACCTTGTTCGTAAATCAAATCTCTTTTTAACTTATCTTAAACTCTTTCCTTATGTTATGCCCATGAACATTTTAAGACTCAAATGTTATATGTAATAAAAATTTAATGTCATAAGTAAAAGGAAGTTAGTTTCAATTTAGATCATCCGGATTATTATAATGATGTCATTTATTTATTTAACTAATATTCGAAAAGAAGTGAAAAAAAATCTGGCAGAAAAATAGTGATAAATATATATATAAAAATATAGAATAAGTAAATTCTTCAGAATTTTATATTGGTTTTTCGTAGATTTTTAGACAAAAAGTCTGATTTTCCACTTAAAAACTTTTACCTTTCCGAATTTCTGAAGACGATGCCATTTTAGTTTAAAAGTTTAGGAAATGAATTTAATAAACTTTCGGCAAACATAATAATGAGTTTTAAAAAAAAATCGCAAAGTAAATCTGTAAAAATTTTATCTGTTCTTCATAGATTTTTATACTAAAGAATCTGAATTTCCAAACAAAAGCTTCTACCACGCCTCAAGTTGGGAAGATGATGATATCAGTTATTTATCACTTTGCTTTAGAAAATGAATTTAATAAATGCTGGCTAAAACAAACATTAACTTACAGATAAGGTATTATTTTTAAATTAAGGTACTATTATTACTGAATAGAATAAAACATAATTTTAGAGAGGAAAAAAAAGAAAGAATTAAAAGAATATAAAATAGTAAATATGTAAGTTATCTTTATAATAATAATAAATATGTAAGTAAATAGTAAATATGCAAGTTATCTTCATAATAATAATAAATATGTAAGTAAATAGTAAATATGTAAGTTATCTTGAAGAATATGAAAATATTGATAAATATAAAGTGTAGTTTATGAATAGAAACTCCGTATTTCTACACTGAGAGTTGCGGTCACCAAGATGGCGGTGTGTTTCTACTTCATCTACTTATCCAAGGCTTTAGTTCTAAACTTAAGTTAATGCCAGCAGGATTTTCTTTTTTTTTTACCACTTCAATATTTAGAGATCTGGTAGAGAACAAAGTTAGCTGGCAGATATATATTTTTTAAAAAATGTTACTGGTTGTCTTAAATGTTTTAAATTTTTAAAGTTCGTCTCATATTAATTGCGATCCTAGGATTTTTTTTTAATTCAACGTTTTGATTAAGATCTGTGCGATAAAAATGCAGGTTATAACCAATTAACACATTATTTATTTGGGCACTTAATTACCAAATTTAATTTCTTTTGTAAATTAATTAGTTAATTTTCAATTTCTGCAGCGTATATTTAAATTTCAGTACGAAACAGAAAATGTAAAAAAAAAACTAATACTTTAACACATTTGTAACTTGTTTTCTTAATTCAGAATATCGATTACGTTTGATGTCTTTTAATGTCCAGTTGTAAAGTGGGAATTTCTTTAACTCTATATAAATGCCTCTCAGTTGACATTTAAAGCTTATTCATCAAGAAACATTATAAAATTAAAACCAAATTCAATTTAATTAAAAAATAACGATATTTTAAAAACAAATATTAAAAATACGCTTCGAATGCAATCAATGAAACAGTTTTCTTAATAATCGGAATATAATTCAGTTATTAAACACAAGCATTTACAGACCCTAAGAGTCCTACATTATTTCAAGTTGTTGCATTATAACAATTAGGGTAAGAAAAGTTTAACTTTACCAGTGATTCTTGTTTAACTTTATCAAAATTCCATTGACAGGTATTATATATTTGTTTAAATTGCTTAAAACGAGTGATGGTTAAAAACATTATAACTCAAATTTATTGTATTAAGAAAACAACTTATAAATCATGACATTTGCTACCACTTTATACATTCAAGATTAGTTTTCTGTTAATCCGAATGTAATATATATATATTAGGCTTCATAATTAGTTGAGATAAATGTGGTTTAGATTATTTACTCAAGAGATTATTTTTAGCTCTGTTAATCAGATTTTACATATTTCTGATTTTATACGAGTATATTCAGGAGAAATCCCCTGTTAATCCGAATGTAGTTGATATTTATGTGTATGTTAGGATTTATAATTAATTAAAATGAATGTGTGGTTTAGATAATTTACTTAAGAGAGTATTTTTAGACTGAAATTAATTCTATTTTCATTTTACTTGCTTTCAAATTATATTCAAGAAAGTCCCCCGTTATATAATCCGATTTTTCACATTTCTGATTTTATCTATTCAAGGAAAGTCTACTGTTAATTCGAATGTGGTTGATATTTATGTGTATTTTAGGATTTATAATTAATTAAAACGAATGTGTGGTTTAGATTATTAACTCAGAGGAGTCTTTTTAGATAAAAATAATTCCATTTTTATTTCTTTCGAAATAAATTCAAGAAAAGTCCCCTGTTAATCCGAATGTTGTTGATATTTATGTGTATATTAGGATTTATAATTAATTAAAATGAATGTGTGGTTTAGATAATTTACTTAAAAGATTATTGTTAGACTGAAATTAATTACATTTTCATTTTACTTGCTTTCAAATTATATTCAAGAAAGTCTCCCGTTATACAATCCGATTTTTCACATTTCTGATTTTATCTGTTCAAGGAAAGTCTACTGTTAATTCGAATGTAGTTGATATTTATGTGTATGTTAGGATTTATGATTAATTAAAATGAATGTGTGGTTTAGATTATTAACTCAGAAGAGTCTTTTTAGATAAAAATAATTTCATTTTTATTTCTTTCGAAATAAATTCAAGAAAAGTCCCCTGTTAATCCGAATGTAGTTGATATTTATGTGTATATTAGGATTTATAATTAATTAAAATGAATGTGTGGTTTAGATAATTTACTTAAGAAATTATTGTTAGACTGAAATTAATTACATTTTCAATTTACTTGCCTTCAAAATATATTCACGAAAAGTCCCCTGTTTATCCGAAAGTAGTTGCTATGTGTATATTAGGATTTATAATGAATTAAAATAAATGAGGTTTAGATCATTTACTCAAGAGGGTATTGTTAGACTGAAAATAATTCCATTCTGTTTTTACTAACTTTTTTTAAGTAACAATAGATAAAATTATTGGTTTTATGACTTGACCACATTAGTCTCTTGACATGGGATATGACAAAAACAATTATTTTTTGAAGAAAAAAATGGAATATTAATAAAAGGATACATCGAAATTAGCTTATGTATCATTCAAAAAACACAAAAAAATATGTTCATTTCTTAATGAAAAAATAGGAAAAATTGGTAGCTTTTTTAGCAAATTTATAAGAAATGTTCTGTCCTATATAATGTTACAATTTGTCTAGCATTTCTTAATGAAAAAATAGGAAAAATTAGTAGCTTTTTTAGCAAATTTATAAAAAATGTTCTGTCCTATATAATGTTACAATATTTGTCTAACATTTCTTAAAGAAGAAATAGGAAAAATTAGTAGCTTTTTTAGCAAATTTATAAAAAATGGTATGTCCTATATAATGTTACAATATTTGTCTAGACATTATTACTAGTCTTAACATTTCTTAATGAAAATATAGGAAAAATTGGTAGCTTTTTTAGCAAAGTTATAAAAAATGTTCTGTCTTATATAATGTTACAATATTTGTCTAACATTTCTTAATGAAAATATAGGAAAAATTAGTAGCTTTTTTAGCAAATTTATAAAAAATGTTCTGTCTTATATAATGTTACAATATTTGTCTTGTGTTCTTAGTTGGAGCCGGCTCAGCAGGTTCCGTATTAGCCAACAGACTGTCTGCCAACCCATGTGTGAGCGTTGTCGTTCTAGAAGCAGGCTCTACCCCACCTATTCTAACCGAAATTCCTTCGGCCGAAAGATTTTTTGTGCACTCTTCCATTGATTGGGATTTCGAAAGTGTTCCTCAGCAAAGATCGGGGCAGAATCTCAAAGAAAGGGTAAAAACATTTTAGAACGTCTTTGCAAGGTTAATATATATCTTTAATCCTTAAGAAACGGGAGGTCAAGAAGTAAACAAATGTTAAATGGTGAGGGGATAAAAATAAACGTTATCAAAACCTGACGCATCATTAACAAGGAAGTCGAGATCAATAACATCGATATCTGCTTGATTAACTGAGAATACTAGGAAGATAGGAAATGTGATTCTGTGAAACAATTTTAAGTTTCACGAGGCAATCAAACTGGATTTGATGTTTTCAGCGAAGTTTTTCTTAAATGTGATTGATCGAAATTTGTTAATGTTTTGTGCGTGTCCGAGGAGTAATTCACGATTCGAATTTATAATTTTATCCAGGTTTTATATGAATATGAATAAAAAAAAAATTTTTGTGCTCACATTGGGTACTAAGTTATTTCAGACATACATACACATTGACAAAGGTGCTATCATTTTTTGAAATATATATAAACTAATTTTAATGCGGCACAAGAGGGGCAAAGCGGTGGTATCACCAGGGCTCGAAAAACCGTGCGTCCTCGGCCGTCAAAAATTCTCCGCGGACAACGAATTTCTCGAATCCGACGTCCGCGAGGACGGCCATTTTCCCGTTTATGTTCGCGATACATTTTCAATTTATGTTATCTTACAAGAGTCTAGCGCCTCACTTCTAAAATGATCCTCTAATCTAGAAATACAGCAGCTTACTACGCATGGTGGAATTGATGTTTCCTTTGTCTGGGAGTTCTGCAGCGGTTGAAAAGGGCCTTTTCAGCAATGAATTTACAAAAAAACACAGTACGTACTGGTCTTAAACAAGAAGCGTTAAACGCAATTATGAACATCTACCTAAATGGAAAACCCCTTTCAGATTTCTGTGCAGAAACCTCTGTAAATCATTGGCTTGATTGTGGAATTGGCAAACGTCATATTTGATTCATTTAAAAAACGCAGTACCCTGGGATAAATTGACATTCCAGATAACTTGACCTTTGTCATTTAAATTATTTCACGAAATAAATAAATAATTTCATAAAAGAAAAACTAGGTTGCTATTAGTAACCTAGTATTTCTTTTATTACTGTATAATGTAATCCTAGTATTTGTAATCCTAGTGACTACTAATTTATTGTGCAATTTATATAAATGTTTGTAATAAATAAGAGAAAATTATACTTTTATTTATTTAGAAGCTACGGGTTAGTTTCAAAGAAGGACGGGTACATTGTTAGACAAGCCGTCCTCGGGGACGGGTAAAATTTTTCTAGCCCTGGGTTTTTACATTTTTTTCATTTCCTTACGCAAATGTAAATAGTATATGCAACTGCAAATGTCTGTATCTTTTTTTGATAAAGATACTGAAAATATGTATTAGGAGCAGCATACATTACATAGTGTTACGAATTTGTAAATATGTGTATTATTTTGTGAATATTCTTTTGCTATGATGCTTAATATCTCGGATCCTAAAGAAATAGTTTAAATAGAAAATTTGCTTGGAAATTGCATAATTCTATCGTAATTTAGAGAACAGAAAATAACGCCTAAATTTCTTACAATAGACTCGGTTTAGGGACATTTTTGCCGACTTAGGAATAATCTTGGTTACTTGGCGAACATTTTGGCAACAAAATGATTATTCTGAAAAATTCGAGTGTTAAAACGATAGGAGTTATAAGGAATAAGAAATATATTTATGGAGTTATAAGAGAATTATTTAGAATCACGTCGAAATTTCCGGGTTTTCCCAACACCTCCTGGAAGAAGCAAGGCCTCAGCACGGATCAATTTAGTAGTCCGATGTGACGAAGTTAACTGCGCAGTAGATGAAAAATAAGAAAGATGTCATTACGTTCGGGGTACTAAGCTGCGCAGTGGTTGAAAATACGAAATATGTCATTACGTTTGGACTACAAAGGGATATTTATGGTAACCCGTGCTGAGGCCTGTTCTTTTCTAGGAGGTGTTGGTTTTCCTCGCCAAGCCTACATGAAATAGAGTGTGCCAACAGTCAGCAGTTGTGTTCTGACCTGAGTTATCTTAATTGTCTTATCATAAATGTTAAAAACAAAATTTTATTACAGAAAGTGAGGTATGCAAGTGGCAAAGTTCTTGGAGGTTCCAGTGTCCTGAATGATGTACAGTATAGTCGTGGTAATCCACAGAATTATGATGATTGGGAATCTATGGGAGCAAAAGGTTGGGCCTACAAAGACGTCTATAAATATTTTCTCAAATTAGAGGACAACAGAGATCCCGAATACGCAAATGATGGTAAATATTTTTCTAATTTCAGAAGATGCAATCCCTTTAATTTCACTGAATTCATCTTCATCAGATGAAAATATCATAAAAGTGCTAACAAGTTCTTTTTCACTTCATGCTTGTTTTCACGCAGCTGGAAAAAAACGAGTAGCTTTTTGCTTTTCGGGTTTCGTTAAATAGGTACATATTATTGTAAAGATTTTATCTTGATTTTGGCTGAAAATAAGACACAAATGGCTCACACTTATTACAATAAACTATACATTTTATTCAATATTGATTTAATAAAAGCATTTTTAATTATGCGACTGTTTTTGGTTATTTATTTTTCATATCTTACAGATCATCTTACCAAACGACTCTTCAATAGATTTCACAAGTTCTTAGTTGGATTTAAGTGTTGTGAATCGCTGTGCCATTCAAGCAACATCATTTTGATTTTTCAACCTGAATCTCTTGATCAGTAGGGGAGAGTGGGGTCAATTGTAACAGGGTACAATTGTAACAGAGCAAAACTTTCGAGTGTCGGGTTCTAGATGTGGTTCCTAGGTGGCGCACAAGGTGTATTTAATAAATCTACATGTACACCCCTGATGGCAACCATTTTTATGTACTTTTGAAAGAGTTACATCACAAAAGATATTTTCATGCTACCGAAGTACTTTTTTTGGTATTAGAATATTATATTGTAACAAAGTAATTTTGTTTAAACAAATAAAAATTATTAACAGAATATGTAAGTGGACACCTTAATTAACATTTCAAAAAAAAAGATTAGTTTTGTTAATTAACTAGCATTGTTTTAAACAAATGAAGCTGAAATGGCGTCTTGGGGACGATTGTAACAATAAGTAAAGGGACGATTGTAACAGCTGAAAATAAATAATCTTATGTTTACAAACCATTACTTAACTCTTTAAGAACCACCAATAGTTTCCTATATCATTTATATTATGTTGCATGTGCATTATTTTATTTGTCACCTTTCACAGCATAAATTAAAATTTTTAACCCCTTAAAGTTAAAAGTTTAACCCTTTAGGTCTCTGCTCATTATTATTTTTACTCCTAAAATATCACTACTATTTTGATCAATAAAAAAATATATCACAACTATGATAATATGTATAATTAACTATGTTTTAGTTGAATTTATGAACTGTTACAATTGACCCCGTAAGTGGGGACAATTGTAACAAGTGCACGACTGTCAAAAATTGTTAATAACTGATATAATAACATTTAAAATAAGGTATTTATTTTTTTTCTAGTAGAAGATAGTCTACTTTACTCGTCTGTCAATTAATACTAATAATATGTTGGATTTTTTGTTAGTTAAAAATAGTTAAATAAAAAATGTTACAATTGACCCCACTCTCCCCTATTGAAATATAATAAGTGGCCAATTCATGCTGAAATGTCCTGCGAAATTTCTGAATGGTGGAAATAACCCTCTTCTGTATCGTTATGTATTACTTAAATTTAACATCTGACTTCCTTCCGCGACTACATGAGCTACGTTTCCCCTACTTTACTTACAACTCTAGTTTTAGTTTTTGCTGTTATCGTCGTTATAGGCCATAACGGCAAGAGGTGCGTTTGTTTATGTTTCCCAGTGGCGCCATCTAGGGTCAAGAATTCGACTTATGTCCCCCCATACGTCACGCCCGTTTACAGGGCGGACCCATTCATCCATCCACAGATCGTAATTTTGACCTGAGCCAGAGAACGATCAACCACCAATTCAGTAGCCCCAGATGTATTATTTGTTATGGAAACATGGACGAGTTTTTGACCCTGCAGATTTAACGTGCACCAGTCACCATTGGTGTAAATGGTCAGCAGGTTAGATTCAAACTCCCGTTCTCACGAACGTGAGTCCAGCGCCCTGCCTACTAGGCTATCCCGGTCCTGCAAATCTAGTAAAAATGCAATTAACAAAGTATTTCAGAAGGCAACTGGAGTTAATTTTGTCTCATACGGTGAATCGTAGTACCTATCATAAAATAATAGCTTTTATTTTATAGGATATCACAGTGTTGGTGGACCACAAACTGTATCAAAGCCTAACTACAACCCTGAACTCAAAAAGCATATCTTTGAAGCTGCGAAAAGCTTGAACATTCCTGTTACTGATTCCAACAGTCCCCACCAACTTGGTAATTATATATATGTTACTGTTAATATGGTTATTATTAATAGTAACTGGTCAATAATAATAATATCCGCTTCTTTTCGTAAAATTGAGAAATACTGCAAATTTTTCACTTTAACTGTTTTTTATTAATGTAACCAATAAAGTTTGGTATATCAGATTAAACCGGTCAAAATTAATAATAACCGTCTCTTTTGGTCAAAGTGATAAATAAAAACGTGAAAGAATGACATTGACCAAACTTCATTGGTTATTATTAATAATAAACAGTTAATGTGATAAATTCGCTGAAATAATTCACTTTAACCGTCCTATTTGGTTATTATTAATACTGACCGGTTAGTATTAATAATAACTGACAATATTTACAGTGACCATAACACATCATAAATCCTCAAGTATCTTGTTACCACGTTACCAAGCGAATGTATTATTTTATTGTATGTCGGTAAGTTAAACAAAAATAGTTTAAAGGGTTAAAAAAATATTCTCTCTCCCCTATATAAAAATTTTGTCAAAAATTTTCGTTTCCAAATCATGTAAAGATAAAATCTCTCTCTAACAAAATTTGAGTATTCAAACTTTTGCATGAACAATTAGTATGAAATTTTACCACATTGAAATCAACACATTGTTATTCATTACCTTGTGTTTTGAAGATTGTGTGATACTTTTCCCAGTAATCTTTTGACGAAAAAGAAAAAAAAGTCATCTTCTGTAGGTTTTGATTTTATGATTGGATTTTCCCAATAATTAAGCTTCACAATTATTAAGTAATTATTATTTTATGTTGTTACCTTTAAATATTTTCAATGCCATTAGCCGCACGTGGGCGTTCAATTTGTAGAAAATTTAATTCTTGTCATTTAATCTCAATTAATTGAAATGACTGTTATCCATATTTCTAAAATAAATTTATCTCTAAATGAATAAATCCCATTAAGTTATTAGTCATTATAATTAAATTTTCTTTCTAGGAATTTATGACTTGCAAGGCACTTTAAGGGACGGTCAACTGTGCAGTACAGCAAAAGGGTATTTAGTGCCAGCTGATTCTCGCAGCAATTTGGATATAGTAAAAGATGCATTTGTTCGAAAAGTAACTATACAGGAAATTACATTGCTAATATATAGTTAAGCATTTATCGGGTGCGTGTCCGTATCGTGATTTGTTGCGCCAACTACAATCGCCAAGGCACCAAATAGATTTTAAAAAAAAATTTTTTTTAGAGGATTGTCTGAGTTATATCCTTCTAGTTGGTCCCCTTCTAAGGTATTTTTTTCTCTTCAGTTTTTTGCGAAACGCTGCCCGGTAGTTATCTAAGACGTGTAGTGCAGATTACGATACAGAAATCTTTCCCATTTATGGAATAGAAATTGCATCATTATTATCAAACGAAATACTTTTCATTGTTGCATCTTGAAAATGATTACTATCCATGACAATTTGTTTGTTCGTTCAAAAATAAAAAATTAAGTAATAAGTCATGATAATAAATTAAGTAATAAATAAGTATTGATAATAAGTATTACTATTAATTATCATGAAATATACTTCAGCACACATTTGTTAAAACGATTAATAGTTGAGTTAGTTGAAACAAGAAAAAATGTCACTACAATTTATATTATTTTTCATTGTTTTTGATGGATGAAATTATACAACTCGAGAAAAAATTGTATTTTTTAAAAATTATTAAAAGTTTTTTAAGGAAAAATATATTACTAATATAATTATATAACATGAGTAATTATATTAATTAGTAATTATATTTCATTAGTATATTAAATTATAATATAATTATATAATAATTTACCAATATAATATAATTTATTTATTTATAAGTAACTCATGCTCATAACCTTGTTTAATATATCAAGTACAAGAATTTTTTACTAATTTTTAATTTATGTGTTCTCTAAGTAATAAGCATATTTTCACTTTTTTACTTTTCTGCGATTAAAGGAAGCTGCGATTAAGAGTGACCTAGAAATCAAAATCAGCTAAAAAAGCAATTAAATTTTTTTTCTTTATCAATTTACGAAAATTCATTTTAAAATTGTAAAACTTTAGCATAATTTGCAGCAATTGTTTTAAAATTATCTAGTAAAAGTAATGATATATAATTTATTAGTTTTGGGTAGCAATTAAACTAAATCATTAACTTATTAAAGTTATTTAATTTATTAGTACATTAAAATAATTTTAAGAAATTAAAACATACCAATAAGCTTTAGTGATCAGTACGCATACTTATGAGGATTATTTCAACTATAAATTTGCCCTATATACTCATAGCCTTGTATGAGTATATAGGGTATTTTCCCAGGCTGTATTTATGACATTTTAAAAGTACTTTGCTTTAATTTTATTTTCCGCCTAAAAAATGTTACCATCTCAAAAATTAGAAGCAACAATAAACCTTAACCACTCGATGGAACATTAAATTATTTTAAATTTCGTTTTCGAATAAAGGGAAGTCTACTAATCGAATTTTTGCACCATTTCAGATAATAATTAAAAATGGAGTGGCTACTGATGTTGAGTTCAAGTACAAAGGTTCCATTCGAACCGTGGCTGCCGAAAGGGAAGTTATATTATCAGCTGGAACAGTCAACACACCTAAGATATTAATGCTGTCAGGAATCGGACCAGCTGAACATCTTAAAGAACATAAAGTTAGAATTTTTNTTTTTTTTTTTTTTTTTTTTTTTTTTTTTTTTTTTTTTTTTTTTGGTTTTACATGTTTCTGAATATAATAAAAAGAAATTGTATAAATTAATTAAAAAAACAGTTTTTTTTAATTGAAAATATTGAAAAAAAATATAGTTCCAAAGTAATATACATCCCCGCTTAAACTTTTTAAAAATGCAAAAAGTCGCCAACCTCTAAGATTATTATGCAAAAACGAAATACAAACTTCTTTGCAAAGAAAAAAAAAATCTGGTAAATTTCTTTTCCTAATACTGAAGAGATCTGTTTATATATTTATACATTACTCAAAGCAGCATTTGGCAATCACTTCTTGCAAGCTAAATAGCGATTTATTTTGATTATTTTAATTTCGCATTAGTTTTCTTTTTCTTATATTTATTTCAATGTTGAATTTAATACACATTAACTTAGATAAAATGCACCATTAATCCTTTTCAGCTAATAAGGAACAAAATTCAGAAAAGCGTTATTAATGAAGATTTAATGTCTTCCTTTCCTCTGCTTACAGTAGAATTTATTACATATATGAAAGAATGAAGGGGTGAATAAAGATATGAAATAAGTACTTTTTATGCATTATAAAACTAAAACATAAAATAAAAGAGTTACAGTTGATTAGAAAATACAATACATAAATGAGCAATATGAAAATATCTCAAAAATCATAAATTCTCACAATTTAATCTTAATTCAATATATTTGATTGAAACAAAACATATAAACTCAATTTTAAAACAAAAAATCAAGAATAATTATTATTCATTCATACGACAAATATAATCGTACTGAAGTAGATGTAAAAAATATGACAAAAACTCTAATGTAGCGTAGAGTGTCAACTACTGAACAAATAACTACTGAATCAATTAGCTAGCTCCGTTAAGTATTGCTAGAAGGCGCTGTAGGCAGTTAAGCCAGGAGAAATTTCAAGAAACGTGTCGTGATGACGTCAGAGTGGAAGTATTATTGTTCATGTTTAGCACTGAAGCACAGAGCTTCGAATATTTATTGCGATTTTTAGAAATTATTTTTATTAATTCTTATTACTTGTTAGTTGATTATTCAGTTTTTCCCCCTTTATTTCACACGATTTAAGAAAGCAAGCAAAAAGAAGTCTGCTCAATGTTGTTTCATGCGATGTTGATATGCGTTCGCGCTGGAAGCTTGGAATCCATTTGGCGTGCATTTATCCATAAGGATAATGGTTTCATATAGAGTCTATAAGCAGTCATATAGAGTATAATATGACTGCTTAATATACAATATTTTTTAATGATTTTTATATACTATTCTTTATTGGTTTTTTATGACCATTTTTATTATGGGTTTTTGTTATTTAAATTTACCATACTAGTGGGCTTTGCCCCCTGCTCGCTAACGCTCGCCAACCCCCGAAAATTGCTACGCAATCTTATATGGTTCGCTTCGCAAACCAAGCTCGCTTCGCTCGCTACTAACTTAGGTACATTGCAAATGCACAAAATTCTAAGAATTCAAAACAATCATTCAAATCCATATAACAACTTTTTTTTAAAAAAAAAATTACATCTTTTTAGTAAATACTAAGTCATTAAAATAAATTTGAATTCAAATAAATGACATGTAATTCGTTAAACCTATTAGAAATGTGCTATAGTATAAAATCTTAAGATAAAATTTCTAAAACTGATATCTCTTTAAAAAGGTTAAAATTTTGGCTATAATTAAGTCTATTAAAAATTGAAATAAGTGAATTGCAATGGAAAAACCTGCATAAACAAAACAATGGTAGTAAAACAAATAAATTCATGATATAAATCAAAAATCGTCAAATAAATTCGTAATATATAAATTCGTGAAAAAAAGCGCTTTCGACAAAATACTAAAATAGAGATCTATCGACAAAGACTACTCACTTCTGCCTAGCTTATGCTCTCTCTGGTTATTTCAGTTTCCGTTTTTAAAAGCGCTATATGTTGAGCCATCTCAGCTAGATTTGGCATGTGACATTTTTAGCGGCAATTATTGGTTGATTTTCTCGCGTTGCCATTCGGAGAGTTGTAATGAGGCATTTTTTTATCGCCGTGTAAGAGAAATATATATATAGATTACCTATCATAACTTAAAATCTCCTCTGCGCTTATTTTTTAACATATCAGAGTTCACCCCCTCAAACCATCAAAATTGAGTCTTGATTGAACGTGAAGATACAATCATTATCTAGATACAAAGCTATTCAGGGTGGTCCATTTTTTGCTGTCTGTACACCCAGTACTATGAAAAACGTGCAGTGCTGCGAAAATGTGCTCTTGTTTTTGAGCGACCGTTATTTCCTATTTTTATTTTTTTGAGACTAATCAAGTAATATCTTACAACTTTTTCATCAGATAATATCTTACCACTTCAACTTTTTGGGATTATTTATTTCGTCCTATGTTCGTCCTTCTCTTGTATTGCAATTTTTTTTTTAAATTTTTTGAAAGAAAGCGCGAAAAAACAAATTTTCTTTTTTCTTTTAGATAGACGTTAATGCAGATTTGCCAGGAGTTGGACAGAATTTACAAGATCATGTGGGATCTATTGAAAATTTTGAAGTAAACAATACTGTAAATGTTCTTTTCAAAATGCTAAATCCAGCTAACATTGGCAAATATGTCTATGACCGTTCAGGTAATTCAAAATTAAATATCCCGATAAAAGAGAGTTTTACTGTTCAAAAATTTCAGATATAATGTACACAAACTATGAATATGTGCCTCATACAAAATTACAAATAGAATTTAGGAACGATTCGCATAAAATTTGATGCAAATACATTCGAAGACAAAGCGGACCTAACTGTCAACTATTCCACCAACTTTCACCAACCTCCAGTTCACGCTCTACATCCCTAAAAGAGAGTTTTTCATAGGATTTGATAAATATATTGTTACATGAGCAGATTCTTAGCAGGCAATCATTCGAAAATTGGTTTATGAATTTTTTTTAGGTTTCTTATCTTAGGGTATTAGTACAAGTAAAATCAAACTTAATAATTTTCACGTATGGGAATGATGTTTCCGAATTCGTATTTTAAAAGGTATATGAGTTCGAACCAAGCCTTCCGAAGACTTGTAAATGATTACTGACTCACGTTAAACCTGTTGGGTCACAAAGTCCTCCAAGTTCATACAATAAATTAAACCTCTGGGGGTACCGGGTTGAATATTGATCGTTCTCTGGTTCAATTCAAATAATCAAACAATCAGCGGTTGAATGAAAGGGTGTATGAATAGGTCCGCACTATAAACGGGTGTGAGGTATGGGTGCATCAGAAGTCGAATTCTTGGACATAGATGGAGCCACTGGAGGACAAAAATAATCGCACTCCTTGCCTTAATGGCCTACAACAACAACAACAAAAGGTATATGAAACCACGCGTTTCTTATATTGGTATTTACCCTTTGTTTGTACTCAAATGTTGAAATGTTTTGCAATAAGTCCTAACTATACTTACATAGTTATAAAGTATAATTTTAATAGATTAGAGATTATTAAAACTGAACTAGATTTAATACCGATGCTATGGAAATAAGTGTCCTACCGCCCCTGAAGGGGATATATACCGTGGAAAATAACTTGGAAGTGGTAAATTTTGACCATCATGAGTTGGCCGCTAACAATAACATCAGGCCGTTTGATGCTATTCTGATGAAATGAAACACAAAAAACGTGTTTTTCTTAATATAATAGCGTAAATCCACAGTTAAGGGCTGCAAATCAAAACAAAAAAGAAGAAAAAAAATATTTGAGGTTTATTAATTGAACAGCTTAGTGGAAAAACCAGATAAGTGACATTTTCAGAAAGGCTATAATCAGGGTAAGAATTTTAAAAAAGTGATCTTCACAAACTATTTTATTAGCAATCTATTAGAAGGAGCAATTTTATTAACAATTTATTAGCAATCTATTAGAAAAATGAAGCAAGCCTACTAAAAACTAATGTGGATGAGTTATGTTTAAGATTTAAGTTAAAGCAAAAACAGTTGTGTTGCATTCAACATATCCATATTGATGCAACAACTTCATGTCATTTTCACTGTTTCATTAATACCCCCAAAAATTACTCTTAACTGGTTCTTCCACTGAAAGCTTCAATTCTGTCGGTAATTGATTTTCAGTTTTGTGAATGATTTCGTAGTGTTGTTCGTAGTGTTGTTGATGAATTGATTTTTTGGTTTTTGTTTTGTACAACACGTACGAGGATCTGGTTGTAAGCTAGTAAGGAATAAATTGCTTCGTTGTATCGTGAATATTTTGAAAGTTTAATGTTCCAATTATAAGTTTCAAAATAAGTGGTAATTCGTTGAAGGGAGATTCTTTTGCTATTTCTATATATCTAAAAGGAAATTAAAATAGAAAGAAAATGGTGTAGAAAACTGCCACATCACAAATTATGGTCTTAAAAAAGCCTTCAAAAAACAGCCTTAATGCAAAGAATCTGTTTAACAAATTGCTGTTTTTCTAACTAAGAAATAAAACACTAATATGTTTTTTGTGTTTTTAGGAGTTTATTCAGCTGCCCAATTAGTTCTAGCACTTTCATATTTGCAGAATCAAAATAATCCAAGAGTTAACAGTGTTCCAGATCATCAACTCTATTTTGTGGAACTGAATACTGTTCTACCCCTGTTGGATTTTAATTTGAAACCCGAGGTAAACTTATGGTTTTTTTCTAGTACAATTTTTTTTTTTAAATTTAAATTATATTCTAAATTTTACTGTCATCTAAAGACCACCGATCTTGTCACTGTCAATCTCTTGTCACAGTTTTAGTGTTTAAACTCCTCCGAAACGGTTTGACCGATTTTGATGAAATTTTATATGTATATTCAGTAGGTCTGAGAATAGGTTTATAACTAATTTTTTTCATTTTTGGGACAAATTTAACGTATGTTTTAAATATATCTTTATTTAATCGTATTCTAGACTTAGAAACATAATAAATCAAAAATAGATTTGAGCACTCCATGATAGGCTTAGATTTGAGCACACCATGTTTTTCACGCGGACAATAACACGTGGCATGCTCTCGAGTGGGCAAACCATCCAGTTTATTTGTGTTAGCTAAATATGGAATGACAAAAAATATTGTACACTCCATTGCACTAAGAGATTAATATTGTTGACTAATATTTTCAGAATTCGTTGTATATATAATTTATAAAAAAAAGTTTCAATAAATTTAAAAAAAACATTATTTGGTGTGTTGTTACTTTCACATTCCGTCATCGTTCACAGCGCTCCATGCCTCTTCCACTCATATACCACATACGCACACACTTACAATAAATAAGATA